GATCCCTGCCTCCCGAATGCACCTGTGCGGCTGCTCTGAAAGGGAGAGTTCACCTCACTCCTCTAAGCAGCGTAGTACTGCACGCGCGCAGGGCGCATTGGCAACAATCAGTGGAAGTGTTGGCCAACGCAAACGCTCGCGCTCACTCTCCACTTGTTGGAATGCAAAGCTCCCTTAAAGGCGCAGAGTTATTTTGAACGCACACCAGGATTAGTTTTAGTCAGGGCTCTCCAGTGTCCTGCAGAGTTCAGCTCCAAGCCTAATCAAACACACCTGAACCAGCTAATCAAGTCTTACTAGGCATACTAGAAACGTCCAGGCAGGTGTGTTGAGGCAAGTTGGAGCTAAACTCAGGACCCCGGCCCTCCAGGACCGAGTTTGGAGACCCCTGGTTTTAGTCATGATGGCTTGACAATGAATGAACCAAGTTATTAGGAATTTTTAAACACCTTTTTTTTTTTTTACTTACTGTAGTAGATCAGACAGTATCCCAGTAAGCCCGTTTCTGCCACGGAATAAAAAATGACGAAGGTAGTAATTGCGACTTTTCTCACAATTTGCTGTTTACTTCTCACAATCGTGAAAAATCAGATTGCAATAATTGCAAAAAAAATTTATTCAGAATGACGAGATATGAACTCATACGTGTGAGATTCAGAATTGCTCGATTTAAAAGAATTGTGAGTTATAAACACACAATTGTGAGAGACAAAAAAGAGTCAGAATTGCAAAATAGTAACTGACTTTCTTACGATTCTGAGTTTACATATCTCTTATTATTTCTAACAATGCTGATACTTTTCTCGCAATTCTAAAAAAACAAGTCAGAATTACTATAAAATTGAATTATTGCAAGATATAAACTTACAATTGAGGAAAAAAGTAAGAATTGTGAGATATAAATGTGCATTTGTGAGGAAAAATGCCTGAATTGAGATAAAAGAAAGTTGCAATTACCTTTTTTATTTATTTTTTCATTCCATGGCAGAAATAAATAATAAATTTTTTCACCACAGAAAAATATTTATTTAAATAAATAAATATCGTACAACTGTGAGGAAAAAAAGTCAGAATTGTGAGATAAAAGTCACAATTACCTATTTATTTATTTATTTATTTATTTTTGTGGCGTAAACAAGTTTCCATACTTTGGATAAAATCGTCTGCCAAGTGCATTATTGCTCAAGGTCAGTTTAATAGTACAGTGCTCTCAAAATGTGAAAGGAACAGAAAAATAACAAGATGTTTAGGCTGCATATCTTACAGACAAGCAAGCATAAACGCCTTATTTTTAACGAATTAGCCATAAACTGAACCAGACTTTATGACGACAGTCAAAAGTCTGACTATGTGACTCGTATTAAAGATATGACTCATGCTGAAATGTGAACAATATAACACCGGTTTTTCAAGAGCCACAGAGCCTTGCATTAGCTTCAGGACATGCATAGCCACTAGTGACTCACATGACTAAAAAAATAGCTCTTATTTGTCTTAATCGTAATAAGGAATAATAAATAGATATGTCTACTACACTGAGTATGTGCTTGTTATCTGCAACCTTAAGATTTCCTTCTTACCATCTGCTGCTTTCATGAATTGCACTAAATGACGATGATCCCACAAAGGTCATTTTTAGCCTACACCTGTCACTCGGATCAGTTGCTATAGTTACACTCTAATTGAATTCTTCCTTTCTCAGGCTCCGTCTAACATATCAGACTCGGAGGGCCTGGAGACATGTTAGGAGACATGCTGTCCCTTCCCAATAGAATTAATGGACTCGAGTCCTTCCTTTCTGTGTCGGTGCAAATAAAGGATCTGTCCAGTGGCTATAATGGCTCCACCTAAATGAGGTGGGATAATTAGCAGAAACAGATGCTCAGAGACTGTGAGAGATCAGTTTAGAGACGGTCGGGCCACACTGATGGGCAGTCTTACGTCTGTGGACTCCAGCGATGCCGAGTGACGCTCATTACACTCACCAGTTCAGAACTGCAGCTTATTCCTGAAGATGTGATGATCTGCTGGATCTGCTGGAGAGTCTAGATCCAGAAAGGATGCAACCCGCTTCAGGAGGATTATATTATATTACATTCTGATTTTTAAGAACAATTATTCTTCCATATCCAAATCCAGAAAGGATGCAACCCACTTTAAAAAATGATATTCATAATATAATATAATATAGTATAGTATTGTATTGTATTATATTATATTTTTAAAGAGCAGTTATTCTACTATGTCTTATTTATATCTTGTCAAATGAGTACTTTAAATCTCTCTCTTAAAATGTATTACTAGCTCACTGAAGTCCTATAAAAAAATTTAAAATAATAAAGAAAAATTTAAAACTTTAGGACAATTTCGCATATAGTTCTGTGTAACTGAGAAATGGCAGGACAGGAATAATAGACTGAAATGAGGACTGTAAAGCTTGTATTAATTTAGTATTATTAATTTAAATGTATTTTCCATTATACTTAAAATGTAGAATTTATTAATGCAACAAAATATTACTATTTAATCATGCCCCCTGACCCGTATATTCCATAGCAAGGTTTAATATACCAACCTTTCTAAGCAAATACTGATCAGTTAGCTAGTATATTATTTCATACTATTCATTGTGATTCATTTCTGATTTTGGTTTGATTGACAGCTCTGTTTGAAACAGGCTTTGGGAGAAGAGAGGAGTCGTGTGCTGCAGGAGCTGATGGTGTCTGTCAGCAGACTTCGATTTATGTTTCCGTGCTCTCTGTGTATGTATTGTCTATTTTAGGTTTTCTATTTTTACACTGCTCTTTTTATGCTTGCTTTATCCTCTGCAGTTTCTAGCTCAAAGCAGCTCTGCATCACACACCAATCAGCACTGTACATGCCCATATCTGCATGCATTGTCTGTATTTATTATTGATTTGTTAAAGTGTTTGTATTTATATCCTTTCAAAAAAACTGTTATTCCCAGCACCATGAGTACAAGGGAATTCATTTGATGTCAATTAAAATACAATCTTATTGTTATTATTATTAGTCTCCTTTTGTCTTTAATCCGGAGCGAGGAACGACTAGCAAGATGTGTTTGGAGGATCTCAAGGTCGCAACAACTCATTTATATTAACAGGAGCTTGACCATGCAGCGCTCTAAACACCATGTGTGTGTGTGTGTGTGTGTAATTATGTATGTAATTACTTATTTCCACTCAGTAAAGTCAAACGTTTTTCAGTTATTTGCCAACACTGAAAAAAAAAATGAGTGTAGAAACAATTTTCACTCAAAAATCACTAGTAAATTTCACAAATAATTACAAAGAATCAGCAAGTAACACTGAATGAAATGAAAAAAATTGAAGTAGAATTTACAACTTTGAAAAAACTTTTTTACATTGAAGGCAACATTTCTCATTTAAAGTTTTCCATCTATTATTTATATTTTAATCATTTTGTTTCAGTTAACAATAATAACCCCGGCTGATGATATCTGTTATGTGTTATTATTAAAAACGCATGGTTCAGTACTTGTGCGTGTG